TATGAGCATCTTGGGAAGGAAAAAAGAGGAGCTGGCCTTCAACATCGAGTCACAAAGAATTGTGGCAGTATTAAATGCTCTTCCAAAGTCAGGAAACAGTTCTTGTTTTATATTACCAGTCTGTAATGGGAGGCCTCTACTTTTTGTTTTGCAGACTTAAATTCCAGATTTGAAACCACATCTCAGTCACTACAAGTATACATTCCATGGAGGTGGAGGAACACTGTCAATTATCATTCCCAATAGACTTGGTGTACAGCAAGAAAGATCGAAGCCAACCGTGATAAACTCAGGCTAAACAAGAAAAAATTGAGTCAAGCCAAAGACAATAAACAAATGCGCTACTTGAGAGACAACCCAATGAGAGTTCGTTCCTTTATCTTTGTATTTTTATTTTTTGCATTCATATTTTAATTATCTTTGTCATTTTTTTTGCATTGCACCTTACATTGGGGACAATGTAAGTTTTAAGTGTGGGGGAGAGATTTAGATTTAGGTTACATTTGGATTGTGTTTAAATTTCAAAAATTTTGAAAATGTTTGCATGGTTTTCAAGCAAAGGAGTTGAGATTAAATGATTTTTTTTGTTTGTATGCTATTTGCAAGAATTAATTAGGTTTTTGAAAAACTCATGACATGATTAAATGAATAATCTTACTATTTAGAGCTAATTAGTTCAGTTATTTTCTTTCATGGTTTTGCTTCTCTAGAACTTGTCTTGATTCTCTTCAAGATCACATTGACACATGCATGTACGAATATGATTAAAGTCATCTTTGTTACATAAATTAGCTACATTAGCCAAATAGTCCATCCTGTAATTGAATTTTCCTTTGATGAACCTCTTTGAGCTTTATTGATTTTTCTTTTTGTAAACCCACGTTACAAGCTTTAAATAGAAAAAACAACATCTTTACCCAAGCTTTTGAGATAGTGGAGTATTGTTCAATATCATGATATGTGTGGGTGTGCAAGAAAATAAGTGTGGGGATATCAAGATTTTTGGTAGTGTTATCATTGGTAAATTGGAACAAATTTTCTATGTCAATTCATGAAGTTCCATTGTTGGTGTAACATTTGGAGTTTATATATTTAAAAAAAATGAATAATAGAAGGAAAAAAAAGAAAAAAAAACTAAGTGATGACGGAGGGTGATTTTAATGTTACAAAGAATCTATATTCATGACTCTTCCTACATCTCAAGAAAGAGTTCGATTTGTGTGGGATAGATGCGAAGTAAAGAAACTATCATGTGGAGTGGTTGGTTTTACATATCTTATGTATATATTTGATCTAAGTCTATTCATCTTTATTCCACTAGTTTCGAAGGCTCTTGAGTCACATACCCAAATATTTCCCACCTTGATCCTAAGCCACGTTACAACCCTTGAAAAGTCCTTATGATTAGGGTTGGGCGTGGGTTGGGTTGGGTCGGTTTTTCCCCCAACCCAACATTGTCGGTTTGACATAAATTCAACCCAACCCAACCCAACCCATGTAAAGATTGAA